AGCAATCAATTTTACAGTTTTAATTAAAGTATCAACTGTGAATAACGCCAGTTAATTTGTGGGTACTGAGGCGTGAATTTACAGGGTACAGAGGAATAACACCTGAGTCCGCAGGAATGGCAACGCATGGGGGGTATCATGGGCGAAACAGTATACTCTGTTATGTCCATAGTACTGCTCATGTCTATAGGCGACGGTTACCACTTTCCACCAGGTGGACCGTCAGCTTGTTTGCCATTCTAAGTAGCATAAAAAAAAGTTAACAATACTTGGAATAACTTGACGGACTGCGAGTTACGAACTGTTTGACGGTTAAACCAATAATGACACCTGAGTACCATTAATATTCACCATTATCCATCCGCCATATTTCTCACAAAGGGAGCGAATGGAACTGTATTGATAACATAAATAGCTTAAGATCTCGCCGCTGATTTCTACAAGTATAAGAGTTTTTAATGAACTTTGGATTCAATTAAAGATGAGTTAAAATATAATATAATATATATATATATATATATATATATATATATATATATATATATATATATATATATATATATATATTTTCCTACCCTTATCACAATTATTATTTAGGGTCGGCATAATATGGTTTTATCCATATTACAAAAAGATTTAAGAATGGATTGAGGACGAGAACGTTGGAAAAGGAAATGGCGGATGCTGCAGCGGCTCGGGAGGCCGGGGTCGCATACCCTTATGCCTTACTCTAGAATCGGACAGATTTCTAGAGAAGAACACCCCTGACACCCATCCCTGTATATATATATATATATATATATATATATATATATATATATATATATACAGGGGTGTGTATATATATATATAAATATATATAAGAAATTCAACTTTACAATACAGCCATTGGCGGGAGAAGTTGTTGGGCATAGTTAGAATTGAAAACAAGTTATCAGCATTGAAACAATTGTTAATATAAGTCGTAAAATGTTAAAAAAAAGAATAATCATTTATTTTAGATCTCTGGCAAATTAAAGCTTTGACCAGTGGGCGTTGGGCCATTAATTTTGCCTCGACGAGTTAAGATTAGTTAAAAACCAAAAAAAATACAGACGCATTTGTAAAAGAAAAGAAAAAAGTGCGTAATATTATTAATTACTACGTAGGAGTGAACATTAGACACATAATTTTTTTTTTATACCACTGAGGTGGCAAACAAGCATACGGTCCACCTGATGGTAAGCGGTTGCCATAGTCTATGAACGCCTGCAATACCAGACGTATTACGCGCGCGTTGCCGACCCTCAAGAAACCTCTTTACCCGCCTCTTGAAGAACCCCATGCTGTAGTCTCTTGGGAAAACCTCGGCAGGGGGCCCATTCCATAACCTGAGTGTTCGCGGGAGAAAACATCTCTGAAACCGCGTTGTACGCGACCATTTAGGCTGTAAGGTATGAGGGTGTAAAATACGTAGCGACTAGGTTGTTTGGTGCGAGGATAAATGAAATAGTCCAATACATACATACATACATGTCACGCCTGTGACAGTAAATAGTCCAATATTGAAATTGTAATGTGCGTCGTGATCTCAGGACTTCTTTTATCCCATCCATTTATCTATATCATACATATGAACTCCCTTCAAATCAAACAAACGATTTATTTGCAGAATACAATATTATAAAAGATGTTAATAGTATATCATTTGTATGTATACAGGTAATTAAATTTAATAATATTTATTTATTTAAAAGTACACCAATAGCATATTGCATTGTACACACATATAACAAACGTTAAATACAATACAATATTAATGCACACGCCTATTATAGGTATTCACAGAATTTATTTGACAGCATTCACAGAACCGCGAGGTGATATGAATTTTACCTATCTTATATTATATATCGAATTTGCAATGAGGAGGTCCTGCTTAGGATTAAGGAAAAAAGACAAATTATTAGAACTATTGAGGACAGAAGGGGAAAAATGTTGGGACACTTGATACGACACGACGAACTTATGAACATTATAATAGAAGGTAAGATAGAAGGAAGAAGGGGGAGAGGGAGACCGAGACATAGTTACATCAGGTAGATCAAGGAAGGAGTTGGTGTCATGTCGTATCAAGAGGTGAAGAGACTCGCTGAAAATCGTAATGAGTGGCGAGAGCTCCACCGACAAGAGAGCAGCTCTTAAATAGGATAGATAGATAGATATATTTAGTACAGTTATTAATAAAATTAAATAATAATAGAAAATACTTTATAATAACAATTATGACTTTTTGAAACTGCAAATCCTTGTTAGTTTTATAAAAGTATCTTATAGTTAGAATATGTTAAGGTATATTCTACCATCTACATGGTACACTTAAGGTTTAATTTGATTAGGTCGATCCATTAGTTAAACACGACTAATCAGGGCCCATCACGTGCTTCATTAATATTGCTATTAGCAGCATGAACTGCGCCTTTTGATGTTAGCATTTCGACACTGTATTCGGGATCTGTTTGTTTTGTTTCCCCAAATTTTGTAATGTACTGTTGATGAATATGGATCCAGTTTTTTCCATAGACTAAACTTATTAACAGCCAACTCGATGGATTGTAAATATGACGTTTAACCACCATTCACACAGCTCTGAGTCCGAGTTTTTTAATTCTCTAAGCTGTTCGTTTTTAATATTCTTTACGAATAACCAATAGCTACCAGGGAAATTAATAGTACATATATCTCTGTATTCTTATTTAATATAAAAATTGCCGTTCATTACTGAAAAAGTCCTCTTAAAAATAAAAAAAATCTGTTTTTTTACAAATCAAAGTCTTAAATATTATTCACTAGCTGTCTTCCACGACTTCGCACACGTGAAACAGTATATACAATATTCTATTTCTACTTAAGAATATAAACTATCTCATGCACCAAATTTTATTTAAATCCGTTTAGTAGTTTTTGCGTAAAAGGGCAACAAATCTATTCCATTTCACAAGATTTCGCATTTATAATCCCAATAGAACTCTACGCATAGATACTAAATTACGACCCAATTGTGTGCGATCCGTCGATCTATCCACTGATAATAGACTTATACTTCGGATTATATAACATGATAATAAAAATCCCGAATGCACCTAACACGGAATTATATGAACAAATTCGTACAAGCAATTATGTATGCCAATCATTTTTCCGAAGCAAACTCTGTGTGAATAGCGCTTTATACATTCAGAATTTAAAATCCTAAATATCTCAGATATGTATACACAATATGGAAATATTGGCATCAGCTTTAACAGATAAACAGTATGTTAACAGATTGATTTTAATGGAGTAACAACTCATAGTGGATAATGCCTGGTACACTAATCCAATTACATCCCACTGTTGGGTACGGCGATGGGTCCATACCCATCGGAATAGGATATTAACATAATACTTTACCAGAGGGAGACTGTACAAAAGTCGTTTGCTTGGCCACCTCTGTCTCATTCGTGTTTCTACCGTGAATCAGTTGTGTTTGCATGGCTGTGTTTCGGTTTGTAGGGTGGGATATGGCGTGAATTTACAGGGTACAGAGGAATAACGTACAAGACAAGTACAAGAATAAATATACAAGAGGCAACGCTTGGGGGGTATCATGGGCGAAACAGTATACTCTGTTATGTCTATGGTACTGCTCATGTCTATAGGCGACGGTTACCACTTTCCATCAGGTGGGCCGCCAGCTTGTTTGCCATTCTAAGTTGCATAAAAAAAATTACCTACAAAACTCAGTTTCTTCAATTTACCCGACTACTCACCAAATGGAGGTTATTTTTCAGGTGCCCGAATCGTTAGCGCAACGTGTGAACTAAACGGCTTCATAGATAAATAGGGAGGAGGCAGTTAGTCCATCTTAATTATGGGCCAGCTATATACTTCGTACTTGTGACTCTGTTATATCTATCTTATTTATATTTATGTCTAGATTTGTCATATTTACTTATTATGGGGAAAAAAGATTCTTGAGTGGCAAGAAATGGTCCCCCACTAGATGGAGTGACGACCTGAAATGCGTTGCAGGAGAGTCAGTGGATGCAGGTGGTTCAGGACTGTTCTTTATGGCGATCTATGGGGGAGGCTTATGTCCAGCAGTGGACGGATAATGGCTGAAGTGATGATGATGATGATTTATGATGGACTCTGTCACATCTATTCGTATGTGTTTGTGACTATGAACTGTCATAAAATTTAAACTCGGGTATTTTGTTGACTTTGTCACATCTAATTGTCTGTAACTTTGTCACGTCTAATTGTCTGTGACTTTGTCACATCTAATTGTCTGTGACTTTGTCACGTCTAATTGTCTGTGACTTTGTCACATCTAATTGTCTGTGACTTTGTCACATATGATTGTCTGTAACTTTGTCACATCTAATTATCTGTGACTTTGTCACGTCTAATTGTCTGTAACTTTGTCACATCTAGTTGTCTGTGACTTTGTCACATCTAATTGTCTGTAACTTTGTCACATCCTTATACTTGTAACTCTGTCGCAATTAATTGCTCTTGACTTCATTAGAAACTTAGCTGAAATATAAATTAATGGGTTAATTTAAATGCTAGATACTCTCTAATGGCGATAGTTCTATTAATGATATAAATCCGAAAGTTTGTAAGGATGGATGGATGGGTGCACGAATGGATATTTATTATTCTTTCACGCAAAAACTACTGAATGGATTCAGATAAAATTTGGTACACGAGTAGCTTATATCCTTATTTAGTACATAGAATTATGTAATGACTTACAAGAGTGAATCCGTCGGATATAGCTAGTGTATAATATATATTGCCGGCCTTCTAGGAAGGAAAATGTTCTTGTCTTGAACATTTCAATGTCTCATCTGTTTGAAAATATTGCTATTGGGAATCAACGTTTAATAGTATGGTTGTAAACACAAAGAAACACAAGGTGAAGGACCATCACTCATCCAGATGGTCGCGATGGATCTTTAACTAATTCTTACCTCAGCATTGATGGCTGGCGGCATCAAGATCTTCTTCTGTGGTGGCGATCTCAGCACCACGTTCTCGTCCCTTATTATAATCTGCGGCTCCATCGCCAACAGTTTCTTCTTGCATTCCTGCATCTGCAGGCATTCTTTCTCCTTCCGCGATAACACCGATTCCGAAGACGCATGTTTCGAAGAACACACCGATGTGTTCTTGCTTGAAAGTTTTAAACTGTCGATTGACGCTGTCATTTTAGCACTCTCTTTGCCGTTGGACGACGCCATTTTTTTCATTTATCACAACAGTAGAGACACTACGAAGTTTTAAGAGGTGTTTCACAAGGAACAATTTTAGGTCCCACTAATAATAAACTTTTTAGTAAAATTGTAGAAATTCTAGAGTTTGTAAATACATAATTTTAACAGTATAGATTTATTTTATTGTCTTTGTCATAATATACAATCTTACAAAGAATCTAACACGTTTACACTGACTAAATATTTCAATAGAATTATTTTAATATGTTATAACAGTAACTGTTTTTCGAAGTTTATCTGAAATAACAAATTATACTTTTATTACAAATGACCTAACCCTTTTTCTATATTGTTATAAGGTACCTTTTCACAGTGGTTAAGCACGACGCAACGTTATTAGTTTTTTCTCAATATTTTCATAACGTAGTTTTAAAATAAAACAAGTTTCGATCTTTGTATCTTGAATGATATAAAAAGTAAAATTACAAAATATTATCAGTCTTTATCTTGAGGATATCGTAAGAAATGATTAAATGAACAAAGCATAACAAAGTACTGCAAAAGAAGGAAAACACGAAATACAAATAGGTCTATATCAAGCTACCTGATCAGGGTGGAAATAAAGTTATTTTTCGCTATAGAAAGAGACCCATGCTTAGTAATAGGACCCATTGAGATTTTACATGGCAAATGCCTCTATATATGTTTATTACAATATATACATATTTGCTTTTTGCAGAAACAAGAAAACAGTCCACTTCTAGGTGATCAGACATATGATAAGACATACCAGATTTTAAGTCATGCCTTCGCTTTCACTATGAACATTGAATGAATCTAATTTATATATATTTATATAAGCATCAAAATTATATTTATAATTTAGTACTATAGTTTTTGCCTGATGCCAAAACAAATATACAGACAAACAGATAGACAAAATTTTTAAAAGAAATCCTTTTGGCATCGGTCGTTAAACTGGTCTTACAAAGATCCCTTACATTATTTTTTCTTAAATATCTCTCATACACAGGCAATGTCTAGTTACAATTTCATTATATTAATAAGATTTATAACATTTAATAAAGCCTAAACTTCATTAAAGTTGACTCTTTAATTTTCGAATTTGTTCTGAAACTCAACAAATCTTGAAGATTTCATCAAACTTTAATTATAAAGAAAAATATAATAGGCGGGAATATTTCCATCATTTGTAAATTATGTTGAGCAATTAAAATAGCTTAAATTATACTTAATTAAGTTAATCTCACCCGTGTCTGGTTTTAATTTATTAAAGCCTGATATTATAACTGTGAAAAATGATTCAGCTGAAGTTCTCTCCAACTTTCTTTAAAAAGGACGATGGTCTTAAATAAAAGTATCTACAGTGTTAGAAGTGTCTTCAGTATCACTACTACTTGTGCGACGGTGACGCCCTCTAATGCCGAAGTTTTAGGCCGTTCTCATTAAGACGAAGGTTTCTGTTGTTTTGTTGTTGTTATTGTCGGCTTATCGGACAACAGCTTTACGTGCTTTCCGAAACACGAACTATCACAATAAGTTTTTGGTGGACTTCAAAAAGGAAGAGGCAAAGATATTATAGTTAACATACAAAAATACTGTTGGATTGATATTTCCTGTTTTTGGAAGATTACCTAAAAATTATTCCAGTAAATAATTTTTACCCAAAATATGGGGTTAAAATATTCTAGTTTTTGTTAATTGATGAGAATGGAATAGTAACACCGCCTGCGCTATGAGGGTTGATAGAGATGAAAGCAGATCAGACAGTTCAGAAGTCATTGATAATTAGCCAAGATAGTTTTCTGAGGAAACCACGTGGAGGTTAATCTGATTGAGATTGCTAGTATTGAAGCTGGTAAATCCAGTTACTAACAATCTCTATAACCCTCAATACTCTTTGTTTAAAACGATCGGTTCTGGCATAAAAAAATAGGACTCTGGAGAACGAGAACAAAACGAAATTCAGTGTATGTCTGCAGGTGTGCTGCCGGCCTTTTAAAAAGGAATATACTCTTTTCTTGAAGGTTATGTTGTCGTATCGGTCTGCTATATGTTACGATCAAACTGTTTATAATTACTCCTCTCCATCCAAAGGTTGCCTGGAAGAGATCGCTTTTAGATAGATAGATAGATAGATAGATAGATATATCGTTTATTTGTTTGTTACTAATCACACACAACATGTACATAAGAATAGATAATACATAAAACAACATAAGATTTATAAAATTGTGTTATTATGTGTGACCTGCAGCAATACAAAAAGGTCGAAGCTCAGCGTGGAACATTGTTCAAGGAACAAAACACAGATTTTCAGCTTTAACCCATTTGAGGGTACGTGAAAATAATAATTAAAATAAATATAAAATAAAAAGAGCAATATTTTTGGTGATTGTCTGTGCGGTGTGTGTATAATAAAAAATTTTAGCGATAAGGTCGCCCATTGTTTTCTCACTGTGATCATTTCTTGTAATTGTTTATATTTATAATAAGTTTACTATTGTAATCTTTTGTAGGAAACAATAAAGAGTATCTGTCTATCTATATGTATTTTATAGTTACAGATTGCACGTTTATCAGTGATATTCTTTGGACATGATATTGTTCGTGTCTTTTAAATGGGTGATAATGGTATGGTAACCCCGACTGCGCTATCGGTATACACTGACGGGGCACCAGTGAGAGATGACTAATGAGGATGTAAGCAGGTCAGTTAGCCCATCTTGACGAATTCAACTAGAATTAGCCGCGATGGTTTCCAGGGGGAACCACGTGGAGGTCGACCTGACAGGGAAAATTGCTAGTAATGGGGCTATTTGACTCCATTACTAACAATCCTTTCCCCCCCCCCCCCTACCGAATACCATTTTCCATCTGATAATCCGTCAGCTTTTTTGAAGTCTTTATATTGAAGGCAAAAAAACTAGCTACGTATATTCGAGGAACAAGCGTTAAAGATCTAAAATAAAATAATATCATTATCATTCAAATAGACTTCCTTATATGATCGACCTCCCCGTGGTCCGCCTGGAAACCATCGTGATGAATTCCAAATGTATTCATCACGATGGGCTAACTACCTGACTTTTCATCCTCACCAATCATCGCTCATTGGTGCCCCGCCAGTGTATATCGATAGCGCAGGCGGGGCTACCATTCCATTATCAAGCAATAAAAAAAATACGAGATAGAACAATCTTATGGCTTGATATAAAAATATTTATAATATATATGTATGTATAATACATGCTTTCACTACACGTTCTGTTTATCTATTCTCGTATTCATTACACACATGATTTATGGATAAAAATACATTTTAAGTAGAACCTTACAATATTCCAGCGATGATGTACAGTCGTACGCAAATAAATATGGGAGAATATTAAATTCTACTACCAAGAATCTCGTAAACAGCCAGCGAGATAAGAGATTTTGTATGAATGCTTCGCAAGTTTTTAATGGCACGTAAATTCTAAGGGAAGCAACCTACTTGGAGGGAGAATCCCTTTGATTTGCACCGATACGCACAATATTTATTTATTTATTTAAATAACTATTGACCAAAATAAAATATGACACAAAAGGTGGACGCAAGCAGTATTCGGTACCAGTGAACCTTTGGGATGAACAGTGAATCATTTAATATCCTAATGAGGGGGGAAAAGGGATTGTTAGCAATGGAGTTCGACATTGCTAGCAATATGCCCTATTAGGTCGACCTCCACGTGGTTTCCCCTGAAAACCATCGTGAACAATTCTTGTTGAATTCGTCACGATGGGCTAACCTACTTCATCCTCATCTATCATCCCTCACTGGTGCCCTGCCGGTGTATACCGATAGCGCGGGTGGGGTTACCATTCCATTATTACCCATTAAAAAAAATATCCTAATGACGACATTTTTAAACAATTTGGAATCTTACTAATATTAGTAAAGTGAAATATTGAAAATAGGCTTTTTTACCACTGAGGTGGCAAACAAGCATTCGAGCCACCTAACGGTGAACGGTTACCGTAGTCTATGAACACCTGCAATACCAGGGGTATTTTTTAGTGGTGATAATGGAATGATTACCACGCCCGCGCTAACAGTACACGCTGGCGGGACACCATTGAGAGATGATAGATGAGGATGAAAGCAGGTCAGTTAGACCATCGTGAAGAATTCCATGGGAAGTAACCTCGATGGTCTCCAAGGGGAAACACGTGGAGATCGACCTGATTAGTAACTGCTAGCAATGGGGCTGTTAGACCCCATCGCTAACAATTCCTTTCCCTCCTACCTGGGCAATTAAGCACACATTGTTGCCACTGAAGAAATCTCTTTACTTCTTTTCTGAAGAACCCCATGCTAATATGTCTTTTGTGTGCTTACTTGAAGCTATTATAAATTTTTTGTACACTGCTTTATATATTTTAAGTATTTTCGCGTCCGACTGTACCGCCCGCCATGTTGACACTGTTTATTTTGTTAGCCCGTCTCGTGATGGAGTTGTAAATATTGGAAACACTCGCGTTCTAACATGTTTTCGTAAACATTTTCTTGGCGAAGTAAAGTCCTTGGCTGGTCGGATTAAAAAGTTTTGAGCTCTCGCTCTATCAAGTCCACGAAATAAGGCAAGATACGATTTAGAAGTAAGTAAGAACTAGAATATAGGGCTAGGGGTCTTAAGAGAGCTTTTCACGAAATGCAATGCGTTTTGTGTACATATTGATAATTTATGTAATCTTCACCAGAGGGAGACTTTGTATAAAAAATATTTGTTTTATTTTTTTTTCTAGTTGTGTTCGCTGTTGGCCGCAGATGGCCTTTACAGCTTCACCGAACGCGCATGCAGGGGCGAGGGCAGATGGCATTCCAAGGCTGCGAGAGGGGAGCGACAGAGGTGTCAGCTCTTACTTATGGACTGCGGCGTGCGTCTAAGGACGCCAGAGTGGCTCGGATTCAGGCTTAGGCCACCGCACTTCGACCCCTGCCTAGGGACGGCGAAGGGTCGGTATGTCGTGATGGGTGGGAACTCGGAGTCGTAGGGATGCGCTCGGACGCAAACCTGATCGCGCGCGGACCGTGTGTCGCGGTGAGTCTTCATCCCCGCCGGCGGTGACGACGTGTGCGGTGTGCGGGTGTATATATACATATCTGTTACGCTTGTCTCCCATTAGGGTAGCCAGATCTTGGATACCTCTGTATTATTCATGTTTCTACCATGAAGCAGTTGTGTTTGCATGACTGTATTTCGGTTTGAAGGGTGGAATATGGCGGTAAATTT